AAAATATACGTAAGACTTTTTTATAGTCTAGCAAATCTCTCCAAAATTGATGCCAAAGCATAGGTTGCTGCTTCCCGACTAGTCCAATGCGGCTCAGTTATCTTCTTAGCTTGAACAAAAGTTGTCACAAAAGGGACCATATCAGCTCCTACCGTTGTTTTGATGAGGTCAAGACAAGTCCGAGCAGCCATAGATAGGCGGCCTTGGTCCTGTTTCAACAAAGTCTCTAGCAACATGGGAACAAGATGAGGAAGAGCCCGCTTGATGATATCAGAATGGGGATGACGATTCTCAAACTCTTGAATCTCTACATGACAAATTGAGCTCCAGAAGTCAACTGCTTGGAGGGCAACACTTTCTTGATTACCATTGATTGCATGTGATGTATGCCGACAGATTCCACCAATGTGCAGGTCCAACACCTCGTAGTACATTGATACTATTGACACGAGACACTCACAAGCTGCATGCATGATCTCTGCTTCATGGGACATGATGGCTGTCTCAAGCACCATCTTCATGATGTAATTTCTATGAGTTTCATCGTCAAAGGTCACATGAGCGATATCCAAGGCATGAAGCAATGCCTTCATTGCTGCAAGATGAACCTGTGTGTTAGTTTCAAACTGTAGCGTTCCATAGACTATTGCTAAAAGGACGGAATTCGCTTCATCTTGCTCAAGGTCGTCATGAGATATCTCCTCACAGACATAGCCTAGAGTTTCCAACGTAGACTGCTTCAACGTTGCAGGACTAGCTTGGTCGGTCATATTGCTAAGGAGGGATTTAAAAAGTTGAGGCCACTGCTTTAGAGGAATATCTATCGAGGCCACCTTTGCGATAACCTTGCCTCCAAGGAAGATGAGCCAAGAGTTGCTAGCAATAGATCCTTGATCTGGGATTTGATCACCGTGTCCTCGCGATTGCAATCCATTGTTCCAAAGAGTTGATAAGCAGAGTACCAGCCAATCCGCGGGACTCGAGAGGTTTATCATCGTTGGCAAGCTCAGAGGAGAGTGATAGAAGAAACAGAGGTAAGTCCTGCTCTTGGAACTGCCGGAGACTTCCTTCGCCTCCAGTACGGACTAGTGCATCAGCTGACAGGGCAGCCACAAGGAACTCATGAATCATCTCCATCCGCTCTAAACAACAAACAACACACGCAAGTAGGAATAACTCTATGGAGAAATCAAGGATTGATTGATTATAAATAAATAAGAGAAACCAAACGATTTCCAATATGCACAAACAGAAGAAGAATGGAATTATTCCATTATATTCTTGAAAAAAGGCAAGTTTCCTTTTTAAATTACTAGTTTCCATTTTGTTTTAACTATACTATTCCTGTTGTTAATAAATTGAGATCCAAAT